TAACCACACCATAGCTGCTTTTTTAGACCTTACACAAGCTTTTGATAAAGTATGGAAAAACAAGTTAATTACAAAATTATTCAAGCATTTCAAAATTGACGAAAAAGCTATCACTTGGATCAATGATTTCCTTAAAAATAGATACATCAGGGTCAAATATAATGGCACTCTATCTAAAACCTTCAAATTGTACCAAGGATTACCACAAGGATCAGTCCTTAGCCCAACTCTTTTCACCCTTTTTATTGCAGGCATAGAAGAAAAAATTTCACATAAAACCAATATTGGATTTTTCAATGATGACATTATTCTATGGAGCAGCAACACTAACTGGAAAAAAGCTGAAAGGGATTTGAAAAAGACTCTTCTCCACCTAGAAAAATTTGCTAATAAACATAAATTAGAATTTAACCCCCAAAAATCTGAAACCTGTCTTTTTACTACCGGTAAGAAACTATACAAAATAAGACCAAAAATTATTCTGAAAGAACAACCTTTGCAATATAATAAACATCCTAAATATCTCGGCTACACCCTGGATCCAGAAATTAACTCCAGTAAACATATTGAAGAAGTTATTAGAAAAGGAAGAGACCGACTAAAAATCTTGAAATATATTTCAGGAAGAGAGTGGGGTGCTGATGCAACAACACTAAAATTAACTTACACATCTCTAATTAGACCTATCCTGGAATATGGATATCAAATCTATTGTACAGCATCTGAAACAAATCTAAAATTATTGGAAAGGATACAACTAAGTGCAGCTAGAATTTTTACAGGTCTTCGAAATACCTGCCTTAATGATATTGTACTTTACGTGGCAGACATTATGCCCTTAAAGGATAGAAGAAGCTACAATCTGCCAAAATATATAAACAAAATCAAGAGTTATGGAAACAAACAAAGAACTTCCAATTACATACTTAATTGGGAATCCAATATAAGACTCAAAAAAGAAGGCCTCCTCCACCTGGCAAAAAAAAAGGATTTTAAAATATAAAGTAGAAAAAAATTATTTAGCAGAAAAAATATCTCCATGCGAGCCACTACAAAATGTTATTTTTAATGCCACTTTAAATGAACCCACCAACAAACAATACCAAAATCCAGAATACTAAAAAAACAATTATCATTTGAAAAAATTAATAACATTCCTAAAAATGCAATAACTATCTATACCGATGGTAGCAGAGACGAGCTTGGACACACTGGCAGTGGCTGTCTCATCAAAACCACAAATGGCATTGAGAAAATGAACAGAAGAAACCCAGATTTTTGCTCAGTCTTCAGATCAGAACTTATAGCCATCTATGAAGCCTTAAAATCCATCAGAAATACTAATTATCAAGATATCTGGATTCTTACTGATAGTAGAAGTGCCATACAACACTTGAGTCACACACGGGAACTCAGAGACAAAGTAAGCAGGAACATAATTGATTATCTCCAAAAACTCTCAAAAATTCACCTTCAATGGATACCCTCACACGTTGGCATTGAAGGCAATGAAGCTGCTGATGTGCTAGCGAAAAAAGGCACAAAAGAACCCTTGCCACAGAAAAATAAACTTACTTTTAAGGAAATAGAAACAGTAGCCAAAACAAAAATTAACAAGAACTGGATGATCCCACCTAAGCACAGTTGGTACAGTGGAGTGGACCCAGGAGGAGCTCTGAACATCAGAAAAAGACAGCATCAAACGACACTAACAAGATTTAGAACAGGCCATCTCAAACCATTGAAGATAGAAAATAATGACAAAATCTACCCCACTTGCCCGAAATGTAGCTTGGCACTAGCAGCTCCAGAACACATTTTGGCTTGCATTAGATGCACTAAACAGGACCTTTGGGAGAGGCCGCTGCTTATCATAAAACAGCTCGAGGAGCATGAACTCATGGAATTCATGTAATCTTTTTTCAGGTCGATCTCCCATTGAGGGTCATAGCCGCCCACCCCGCTCCTATGAAGGAGGTAAGTAGCCCTGAACCCATGTTGGTATTGAAATACTCCTGGTGAATCTAGTGGGCACTGAGGTGGTCCATCTATCACATGGAAAACATACATCAATCTCAAACTCTATTAAGATCTTTAAGTGGACCTTTGTTTTAGACCTTAATGCAATGGTACCTAAATAAAGAGGCCATTTTCACAAAGAATGAAATTGAACCAAGGCGCCCAGGCTATTGAGGTCTTCTTCTCAATATAGATTGGTGTCTCTCTTTACCTTGAGAGACAACCTAGTGTTTTAGTCCAGCTCCGCAACACCAAAGGAAGAGTCTTTAAGAACGACTACCAAACGTCCAAAAACTTAACCAGAACTCTTTTTTATTAAAAAACATGGTCAATTTATACATTCAAAGAAATTTACATAACAATTTATACATTAGAAGAAATTTACATACTTTTTCCTCTCTTAGTTTTTAAGTTACAAATTTACATAAAAATAAAGTTGACTACTCTAGTAGGCGTAACACAGGCAGACTGTTCAAATGGTGACATTCTAATGCTTCTCTGACGTGTGCTATTTATAACTTTATGATGTTCTATAGACTCCTCTTTCCAATATTCTTTATTAGGCAGAGCTGACTGCTATAGGGCGCGTGCCCAGGTGGCGGATAGGGGAACGACCTTCAAATATGAAGGCCAGCTGCGAAACAAGCAGAATAACTCTGACAAATAAGCAGTCGCGGACTAACAGCTGCATTGTTAAAAGAGGAGTAGACCTCTTTAAAAATCCTGACTTCAACTGACCCGGTTGATGGACCTCAGCAAGGGTCCCACTCCAGGGATACGGAGGAGCTGCGTCTGTACTCATGTTAGAGTCTGCAGCAAAGGCGTCTGCTTCCATGTTAGGAACGGCCTCAAACTACAGGCAAAGTCAGACTTTCACCAAAGTGTGCCTGGATCATGGTGCCATGATCAACGAAAGCTGCACCCCTACACCCCATTCCATGAGATCATGGAATTCGTGCAATCTTTACACAAGGGGATAAGAAACAACAACAACATATTCTTTAAAGTCATTATAAATAAATGCTGTTCCTTGGTCTGTAATTATTCAAGGGGATAACACCAAATCCCACACAAGAAATGTATTTGTCAAGTTTCAGAAACTGTACTACCAGCAGAATAGACTAATGGTTTCTAGTACTCTAGGCTGGTATTAACAGTGATACATTATTTGGTCTCTGCACCACTATGGGTTCCCATCTAGAATTGTATTGTACCTCATCAAGAGACTCTGGTTTCACAAAGCTACTTTAAATCAACTAATCCTAGAAACTCCTCCTTCCTTGCCACACCAATTTACAACAAGACAACCAAGGAAATATCAGCCAGTAGGTAGAGTAGATTGAGACAATCCTCACAAAACTCCTGGTGAATGTTGGAATGTGTTGGAAGTTTTACTGATTGTGCTGAAGAATCTCCACAGAAGGCCATGTAAAGCTGACAGTATATGTGTGTGTGGCCAGAGCCCCCTATACGAGAGACCTACGGCCTCCCACGAGATAGCAGTTGGGACAGAAGTAAGTTTTGTGTTCCCATATGGGGACCAACAGCTTGATGATTGTTTCTAACTGATGGTTTGGGTAAATGAGGAAAAGCTATATTAGAACTTATAATAGATTATTTTAAATGTCAAAAATCGATGCAGTCAAACCGCACTTTAACAAGAACTACAGTAAAACCCCTCTATAGTTAACCCCAATGGGACAGAACTTTTGGTTCACTATAGCCACGGTTTGGCTATTATTATTATTTTTTTTACTTTTCAAAATTTTTATACTGTATAATTAAAGGACAGCCATACACACTGGAAGAGGCTGCCTCCTAATAGTGGTCACTTTGTTTTAATTCCTAATAATTGACCAATTTCCTTACATTAATACTGAAAAAAAAAGAAATCATTAGATGATAGGTTCTTCTTGTCATTAGCATACATGTACCTCTATGTCTAATTTCAAAATCAAGACAAATCCTTGGCAAAGTTTTATTAAATATATATTCAAAGATATGAAATGATTTTAAAACATCTTTATCACATTATATAATACAATGTTTACTTGAAAATATGGCTCTAATACCTTGTTGCTTTAAAACATTCTTCAAGCATTGCACCTTTCAAATAAAGTTAATAAGTGTTTTTCTTCCATTTTCTTTCATGCTTCCATATATACAGTTGAACCTCCATGTAAGGAAATCTTGTTGCGGACAAAATGTCCTTTAAAAAGAAGTGTCCTCTTGCTAAAGAGTTGCTTATTTGTAAAAATGATAATTTTGGTGATGAAAACTGTCCTTTGTTGAGAGAGGTTTCCTTTCATGAAGGTTCTACTGTTGCTTGAATAGATTGTAAATAAAAAAAAACCTTTAAAACTTGATAATTCACCTTTACTCTAACCCTCTCAGATGTTTAAATATATAATTTGGTATCTTCCCTCGATAAGGGAATGTTGCAAGCTATTTCTGGGGAGAGTGAAGATTTGTGTTTCATCCCAGATCTGTTGTGTCCATTGCAGGTCGATCTCCCATGGAGGGCCGTCCTCCCCGCTCCTATGAAAGAGGTAGGTAGCCCTGAACCCATGTTGGTAGTGAGGGACTCCTGGTGTTTCTAGTGGGACCTGAAGTTGTTTATAGGCTTCCATCTATCACTGAGGTTGTTTATAGAATTTCATCTAACAAATAGGCCTATGTTTTAGACCTTGATGCAATGGTACCTAAATAAAGAGGCCATTTTCACAAAGAATGAAATTGAACCAAGGATTGTGAGCTCAAACCTGTAACACACTCAGGCAGACTGTTCAAATAGTGACATTCTAATACTTCTCTGACGTGTACTATTTAGAGTTTTCGGTGTATCTTACACGCTTGTGCAATTCTTGTGGGTTATCAATAGACATTTGAAAATTATCTCACATGTGTTTCTTTCTAACGAAAAATAGAAATTTATTTTAAGGTGAAATATTGGTTATTTCAAAACACTTAGGAATGAAGTATGAAGGGTAGCCTAGTGGTCATGGCATCTGCCCGGTAAGCTGAACACTGTGGGTTCGATTCCCATCCCTGGACACTTTATTTTCCGTTTATCATTACTCTTCACAATTCATCCTTTCATACTTCATCCCTAAGGTTAGAAATAATATTTATTTCTCCTTAAAATAAATTTAGATTTTTCGTTCAACAGAAACATATGCTGGATAATTTCAAATGTTTTTCAACAATCATAAGGCACATTATATTGTATTATAAATTACTTTATATAATATTTATGAACGGAAAAATATGTCCAGTGTAGCCTAGTGGACATGGCATCTGCCCGGTAAACGGAACACTGTGGGTTCGATTCCCATCCCTAGACACTTTATTTTTCCGTTTATCATTACACTCTTCACAATTCATCCTTTCATACTTCATCCGTAAGGTTGGAAATAATCATTATTTCTGCTTAAAAAAAATTTTGATTTTTCGATCAAAAGAAACACATGCGAGATAATTTTCAAATGTCGTTCTACAATCATAAGCCGCATTATATTGTATTATATCACTAGACAGTTTAGAAGTACGGAGACAATAATCGGGTTAATACTTTCTACTTGACCATTCCCTTGGGGAACTCCTGTTGTGAGGCAGCAAAGTTCTATAGACTCCTCTTTCCAATATTCTTTAAAATCATTATAAATAAATGCTGTTCCTTGGTCTATAATTATTCAAGGGGATAACACTAAATCCCACACAAGAAATGTATTTGTGAAGTTTCAGAAACTGTACTACCAGCATAGTAGAATAATGGTTTCTAGTACTCTAGGCTGGTATTAACAGTGATACATTATTTGGTCTCTGCACCACTATGGGTTCCCATCTAGAATTGTATTGTACCTCATCAAGAGACTCTGGTTTCACAAAGCTACTTTAAATCAACTAATCCTAGAAACTCCTCCTTCCATGCCACACCAATTTACAACAAGAAGACAACCAAGGAAATATCAGCCAGTAGGTAGAGTAGATTGAGACAATCCCCTCACTGGAATGTGTTAGAAGTTTTACTGATTGTGCCGAAGAATCTCCACAGAAGGCCATGTAAAGCTGACAGTATATGTGTGTGTGGCCAGAGCTCCCTCTACGAGAGACCTACGGCCTCCCACGAGATAGCAGTTGGGACAGAGGTAAGTTTGGTGTTCCCACATGGGGAACCAACAGCCTGATCATTTTTTCTATTTGATGGCTCAGAAAATCAAGATGTTCAATCTTAGGTACAGGCTAAGTGAGCCAGGTAAACGGGGAAAGCTACAATAGAATTTATAAAATATTTTTTTAAAGGTCAAAAGTGTATTCTTCATGTGGCATGAGATAAATGAGGATAGTATCACAGGCTTTGCAACAATGGACTTGTCTGTTTGGGTCATGACCATGTGAACCTTCCTTGACAGACCAAATTGTTTAATTGCAACACAATCCTTGGTTCCACTCTTTTTACCATTCAGGAATGACCCTAAGGACACATGGTTCCTATTGAAGAACTTATTTAATAGAAGGCATGTGTTCACACACCACCTATAGTAGAACATTCTCTGATAAGGCACAATTTGGATTATTCTATATACAATTACGAGCGTCATTCTTCATCTCCTAATCAACTCTGTCACCGTTTGCTTTTTTTTTTTGGAATGGCGCCCTCCTATTGGTTGGCTACAATCACGCCACCTTTGCCCCCCCCCATCATGCCTCCCCCACTCGCTTTTTTGTAACTATTGTGTTGGAGCGGGTCGCTCCTTAAATAAATGCATATATTAGTTAATAACTAAATGGAATCCTCTTTTTCTTTTTCCCAGTAAGAGACGCCTACGGAAGCCAACAGTACATAGACAGATAAAGCACATAGGCTATAGTTATTAACTAATATATGCATTTATTTAAGGCGCCAATTTATAATAAAAACATTCAATCGGGTAAAACACGGGCGTTGCCCAGGTCATTCGGCTAGTAGATTATAAACACAAGGTAATACGACCAAATCCAAATAAATAAATAGCGTGTGAAATTTCAGTAACAACGCTGTTACCGAAACTTCACACACTATTTATTTATTTGGATTTGGTCTTATTACCTTGTGTTTAGAACATACTCCATAAGAGAACATCTCTCAACCAAGGACAGTTTTCATTGCCAAAAATGACCATTCTGACTAAGTAGAAACTCTCCATATAAGAAATAATTGTAACAAATAAATTTACTCGCAAATGTGTTTCTTTTCAATAATATAATCAAATATTAACTCTACAGACCTTATTAAAATATTAAATAATATTTTATTCTATTTGAAGAATATAGCAGTTTAAAGGAAATAAATATGGTAAATAAAAAGAAAGTTTAAAAATATTATTTAAAAAGAATCATGAAGATCTTTTTAAAAAATTCCTTTATAGATATCTCTGTTTTTACACTGAAATCCTATTCAGGATATATTCCAGATGGTCATTTAGAAAAAAAAAAAACAATGGTTGCCTGTAAAGTCGGTTTTACGGGCGAAAATTTTACGTGACAACGGTAGAATATTTATTGATATGAATATAATTAAATTGCACAATAGGAACAAGGAATTGAATGAAAATAAGAATTGCACAAATTTTAACTATAGAAATATATTTTGTTTACTAAAACATTGTACATGTAAACTTAAACTTAACTAATTCCTATTTGAGTGATTTTGTTGAGGATAGGACGATGATAGGAGAAATATGAAATGAAAGGAAGTTTTTCTGCTGTAATGTTTCTTGCGAAAGTTAAGTCGATAGTTGTTCCTTTTTATAGTTTACGATAATGAAATATCAGTGTACAATTATTTACCTTTATTGTTGTAGTTGTTGTAAATGACGAATCTAAGCACTCCACATTTTCACTACAGACACAGCTGACGATACTTTAACCACACGTGTGAACTTGTATTATGACGCTTTCTTGTTTTTCCAACGCCAAGAACGTTCGAGAAAGACAAAGACAGAGACAAGCATGCGCCGATTCAATGCGCCTAATTCTCTAGCGCTGCGCGCGCAGCTGCGCGCACAGCACTCTCGTTCGGTGACTCATCGTAACGTTACCGGGCGTTACACTTTTTCATAAGTGACTCCCAGCCGCAACCTAATTTAAGACGTTGTCACGTCAAAAAACATGCATGTCTTTCTTCCTCTGAAATGTCTTTTAACCTGGCATTGCACGCGCCAGGTGAAAATTATCCATGGCAATATTTGAGTGAAGAATTAGCCAATAAAAAATCAGTTGGCAGAGATGTGGTTTCGTTTAGCTTCCAGACTCATCATCTAGTCTAAAGTTTTGGTTCCACATTTTGACAGCTGCCACTGAAATTCCATCTATTGTCACTGTCGGGTAAAAATCACCCGGTGCGCGCACTCACGTAAGTTTTTTGTCTCATTTTTCTTTGATACCTTTTTTTGAGAGAGAGAAATAATTCGAATTAATAATTAAAAAATAACTATAATAGGTTGATATATTTATCTGCCTATAATTCTATATAAAATGGAGGGAAGAAGGTCATATTTATTAGATCAAGAAGAGATTATTGTAGAAAGTGATATTGAAGATCATCTAAGTGAACATTTTACTGGAAGTGACACTGGAATATATTCAGATGTGGGAAGTTTGTGGGATAAGGGAATTATCCCAAAAAGACATTTTTATATAGGGAGAGACTCGAAAACCAAATGGTTCAAAAAGTGTCCTTCAAAAACAATAAAGCTGAGAACGCCTAGATCCTAGAAATTCCTCCTTCCATGCCACACCAATTTACAACAAGAAGACAACCAAGGAAATATCAGCCAGTAGGTAGAGTAGATTGAGACAATCCTCACAAAACTCCTGGTGAATGTTGGGATGTGTTGGAAGTTTTACTGATTGTGCTGAAGTATCTCCACAGAAGGCCATGTAAAGCTGACAGTATATGTGTGTGTGGCCAGAGCTCCCTCTACGAGAGACCTACGGCCTCCCACGAGATAGCAGTTGGGACAGAGGTAAGTTTGGTGTTCCCACATGGGGAACCAACAGCCTGATGATTTTTTTCTATGTGGGGGCTTGGGGAAATGAGGATGTTCAATCTTACGTACAGGGTAAGTGATCCAGGTAAATGGGGAAAGCTATAATATAATATATTATAAAATAAAATTGAATGTCTGTCTGTCTGTTTGTCTGTACTTTATAGATTCAAAAACCATACATCCAATCGCCGTGAAATTTTGGGATATTATTAGGCATATCACCGGGAAGGTTTTTGAAAAATAATTTCATGAATATCTTGAATATCCTTAGAGTTATTTGCTGATTTGTAGATTTAACTCGCAAGCAGCGCCCCTTTGTGACGATGATAACAAGTTTTCTTATCACTAAGTTTGTTATCTTAAATATTATTTATCAAAAGTAAGATTATCTCAGGATGACACGGCAATGTGACACGGGAAAAAAATGTTCACTAGATAAAACTATGATTTTATAATGTAGAAAATTAGGAAAGACAAAATTCAGGATGACACGGCACACAGGGAACGGGAAAAAATGTTCACTTTATCGAGATATTCAAATTTACGAGTTTCAAATTATCAAAATATATGTTTTTTTTTTTCAAATAAATTTTTAGAGAATTGTTTTAACAAATGTTCGCTATACAAACCTTTACTCGGGTAAAACCTCGTATATTATAAAATAACTTACGATGGATTTTTCATAACGGCCAAAAATGGACTCAGTGAAACTTCACTATCACAATTATATGTTGTTATAGCGATGGTAAACATATATAACTTAAATCTAGGAACCTAGAATTATAATGTTATAACAAAGTTGCTACTCTATATGAGGATCTTATTACGAGGCTCCACTAGATATTGAAATAGAGAATTAGCCTTCAAATGCTAAAAATTTATTCAATGAGGTATTCATGCTTAGCCCAAAAGGCTTAAGATGGATTGGGACTTCACAATTTTGGACTTGTCAGTTTGGGTCATCACTGTGTGAACCATCCTTGACAGACTGGGTGACTTCACTATGATTGATGTGTTTAATTGCAGTGTC